CGCTAGTTGATAAAGTTTCTAATTCTCGTTTTAGATCTTCACTAGTTGATATATTTTCTAATTCTGGTTTTATATCTTCAGTAGTTGATAAAATTTCTAATTCTGTGATGGTTGATAAAGTTTCTAATTCTGGTTTTATATCTTCACTAGTTGATAAAATTGCTAATTCTGGTTTTAAATCTTCAGATTTTGTACATACTGCTGATACAGCAGGTTCCATATCTTTAAAAATTAAAAATCCTGTTGTTTTATCTTGAGAAGTTAGAAATGTCATATGGTGTTTTACATCATCAAAAGAGGAAAATTTTGTACATTCTGACTTTGTGTCTGCAGAAGATGAAAAATCTGGCGTAACAACGGTTTTATAATCCTGTGAATTAATAAATGTCATGTTTGGTTTGATATCACGGAAAGTTAAAAATGATAATTCTGTTTTTATGTCAGAAGAAGATGAAAATTCTGTAGATAGAAGTGGCTTCACATCTTCAGAATTTGAAAATTCTTTAAACTCATCAGACTGTAAATCTAAATCAGCAGTTGCCTCTCCCATGCTGCTTCTTATAAATAAACTGAGGATTAGATATTTAAATGTTAAAGTGGTGATTATATAGATCTATATATATATATATCTATATATATATATATATATATATATATATATATATATATATATATATATATATATATATCCAATATATAATACAACATAATTAGTTTAAAATGTTAGTACAATTTCTAGACCTACCCCATGCATGTAAACCACAATACAAACAACTCTGTTTATAGTGGCAGTGGTCACTTTCTCTACTGTTGGTAATATAGAAATGTGTAGAAATATCTAAGAATTTTTTTTTAGTAGGCCTGAACTATAACAAGTGATAGGCCTACAACACAAATGTACACTGTCGTATGCCTGCTTTTACAACATACCCAGGTATATGGCTAATTTCCACTACAAAATCTAAAACCTTATGTTGCACCATTTCACCACCAATGTCCCCCACCTTGATATGAGCGATGACGTAAAAAAACATATTGTGGAAGTTCGTAAGTACACATCGCAGGATTACAGAAACGTTATTTTTACTAAGAAATCACTTCAGAAGTGGGGTTGGTGTGGTCGAGTCGGTAAAGCACATGGTTGCTAAACCGATATGTCTTGAGTTTGAACACTCGGGCAGATGAGGCTCGTTAGCAGAGGACAGCCACTCTTCTAGGAGAGACAACTCCAAAATCAAACAACTTCTGCCTTGTAGTTTGTTCTTGGGTGGACAAAAGCTATGGAAGCAAATCCAAAAAGAAAAGCAGGAAGAAATCAGAGTCAATGGCTTCACTGGCACATAACAGGATGACACATATATTTCATTATGAAGAAGAAGGTTTCAGAAGTAACTATGCTAATACTAATGTCAGAGATGTAGCGCCCCACCTCCCCCCAAAGCAAATAGCTGATTTTTTTTTACAAGTGGTGGGAGGAGAAAATAGGATGAGTGCAGTGACAGCAGCAATTTTCACAAACACTGTATTTCAAGGTTTTTTTTTAAATTTCAAGGACCTTTTACAACAGTTAAAAAACAACTATATATAGACCCAGAAAGATCGTGTAAAAAAATTATAGCAGGCGTACATATTTTGTTTGAAGACCCAAAACCAGACACGTTTTTTGAAAATTTTGCTTTAACAGTTTTGTGACTTTCTTGGAATTTGGTTTTTAAAAAATGATTATCACGTGAAAAATGGCAGATTTTAAGCGTATTTTATTCTACCTGAAGATGAAAGAGCTATTTTTGCCAGAAAAAAATTTTTATTAGCTTCCGACAATGAAGGTCAAACATAAACATGGGTAAAGTTTTAAGTTGCTTAAAAACTTAAAATATCGATCTGTAAGGTTCCAAACTTGCAATGTTAGGTAGGGTATTATTAGATTGATCTGTTTCTGAATTAAAATTGTAAATATTCTGTACTCATTTTGAGAAAAAAAATTACCCACATGTCACGTAAACAATATTTTTTTTGTGAGTGACGTTATTGCTATTGATACGTCACGAAAACAATATTTTTTTGTGAGTGACGTCATTGCTATTGATACGGAAGCTGTATAGTAGTATCCTCTGTCACTGCTTAAGTAAGTTTTCTTTTTACTTGACACTTTTTTTTTACCTATTTTGCTAGCGTAATTAGGCTAATTAAGTCTCATTATGGATCTTTCACCTGGCTTTTGGATTATACTATAACTCTAAAAGCCCCTAAGCCACAACAATCTATTATTTTGTTTTTTAATCTGTGTTAATCCCTGAAATTATTGAGCATTAGCCTTTGTGTGCTTATTTACAAATATTTATGCCTAATTATTTGTTGTTTTCAAATGTGTTATAGCTTAAATAATTTTTATTAATTCTTATTGATTGCATAGATTTTAGTTAGTCTAATTAGTCTAATATAATATTATTCTCACTGTTCTTTGTTGATATACTTTTATTAGGCTAAATAATGTTTATATTATTAAGATTTAAGAGGTCTGAAAAATTAAATGATTTTAGTGTTGGGTCTAGGCTTACATTACTAATTAGTACCTAGTAATTAGATTTACTAATTAGGACTTGGGCTAACAAAGGACTTGGACTAGATTTAGAACACGCTCATACTGTGCTGTGAGTTTTCTCTCACCGGTTGACAAAAGAACGCAGGTGGGCTGCAATGTTTGTAATTTGCCTATATCTTTCGGTCACAAGCGATCATTTTAATGTGATAGGCCTCTTAATTTTATAGGCCTGATGAATTGTATTTGATAGGTTAACTTTTCTGGTTGACAAAACTACTTGAGTGAGCATCTGTCTGTCACTACGCAAGCGAGATGCCTGTCATGTGCACTGTCAGTTATGTTGTTTAGAATGCATTTCTCGTTAACTTGATCAATTTAATGCGATTACTGTTTAAAAAAAAATAGATACAAATCTTAACAATATTTTAAACTCAGCATGGACAAAGCTTTGTGAATAACACACAGGTTTCAAGTCCAGTAAGGGAGGAGGGTTAGATTCATTTTACAATGACATTGCTATCATTTATAAATTACCCTAATTAAACATTGCTAAAACACACTAATTAAGCCTAATCAAAACTGAAATAAACATGTAGGCCTATATGAATATCTTTTAAAAGTTTAGATCTAGATCTATATTATATAGGCTGAGGCTATTCGTACTTTACTACAAATAGCCCTATGAAGGCTATTCGTACTCTGACCAATCAGCGTGAGGCATTTTTTCTGTGATTCTTGAATTCCCCTTTTCATGCTGTATAGATCTAGAACTAATTATTTTTTAGATCTAACCGTATCACTAACCCTATACCTAACCCTATGCCTAACCCTAAACCTAACCCTAATGCTTAACCCTAATCCTTAAGTAATTTTTTTTTAATGCAAAAATGAAAAAAAAAAAAACTCAGAGCCAAAGGGAATAGAACCTACGCCTCGAAAACAAACTAGCCAATACAATCACTTCGACCACCGGAACAGTTACAACCAGTTTCAAAATTAGAATGTTATACACAAGCTAATAAAAATAATTATGCACGCATGCGCAGGACAATGAATTTAAGAATAAATTTGATTGGTTGTCTAAAAATAGCGAAGTACAAATAGCCTTCTGAGGGCTATTTGTAGTAAAGTACCAATAGACACTCTCATTATATATTCTTAAACATTTAAAACGTGCTTATTTTTGGATCATTCATTAGCCTATATTAAAAAAATAGTAAATATGTTACATGACATAACCAAGTTACGAGCATCCTTTCAATTATGTTTTATTGACACATACCGACACTCCACCCTCCCCTCACTTCATCCTTACTAACATCCAAGGTCCCTCTCCTGTCAATTTTGTGGACCAGATCTAAGAATGATTGTCACGGAAAAAGCTGTCCCAGCTAAGCTAAAAAGCACCAATAATTAAAACCCTGTATTTTAGCCCCAAATTTACAAATTAGCTAAAACCATCAAATGTAGTTAGTAGTTAGTTAGAGATATATCTCTAATTTTCATGGGTATTGTTTAAATAAAATAATGATAAGGTAGGCCTACAATTTAATGAATAGGCGTAATATTTAATATTAATGATGAGTCACCTTTCTTGCACATTACTATTACACTTTTATTACACTAGCCTCCGTGTTAGCCTCTACTGATTTTACATAGATCTACCTAATACTCAAAGGATAGATTAGCCAGGCTTAATTAGTATTTCGGTAAAATCTTAGTTTAGCGTCGTAAATTCAGCCAAAACTAGTAATGTGGGAGAGAGTGAATTAATGTATATGTCTTTAAATATGAGTTTATTTTCGTATATTTTAATAAAATATTATAGATAATTCAAGAATTGATCACCATTGATGGTTAAGTCAATTTAAATAACCTGAAATTAATTTGTATCAACCCTGTTCGAGATAGTACATTTGCTATTAAAAACAGCAGCCATCTTAAGAAAATGTCATTTAGAGTAGTTTCCCTTTCATTTCTATTTGTATGAAAATGTATTTAAATATGATTGTCTTGTTGTATAGTCCGTCCTACAAAGCATTCTTTTTTTTTTAAATTCTGCCCTTTAAAACTGAATTTCCTAACAAACAACTCATCACTTCTAGAAGTATTGTGAGATGCAACTTGTATCCATGTACAAAATCACATTTTTTTGTAATTATGTTTATTTGATCTTACTATATAGTTTGAATGTTTTCTTATTGTTTGAATGTTCACTATTTTTATTTCAGGTTTTTCTTTTCATCAATTAGTGATTCTATCGTAACTTATGACATTTTTTTTTACTTCTCTTTACCTTAATCAAACCCCAACCTCCATCATATTTTTGTTGTCAATGTCACAACAAGTCATAATGTAAAAAAATTATGCTTCACTCTGCCTTATCTAAGATCTCTAACCATAATTTTGACAACAATAAATGTTTGTCATCATTTATATATACAGAGAGACAAAATGTATTATCCAAAGCTTTGTGAATAACACACAGGTTTCAAGTCCAGTAAGGGAGGAGGGTTAGATTCATTTTACAATGACATTGCTATCATTTATAAATTACCCTAATTAAACATTGCTAAAACACACTAATTAAGCCTAATCAAAACTGAAATAAACATGCATATGAATAACTTTTAAAAATTTAGATCTAGATCTATATTATATATTCTTAAACATTTAAAACGTGATTATTTTTGGGTCATTCATTAGCCTATATTAAAAAAATAGTAAATATGTTACATGACATAACCAAATTACGAGCATCCTTTCAATTAGCCTCCGTGTTAGCCTCTACTGATTTTACATAGATCTACCTAAAACTAAAACGATAGATTAGCCAGGCTTAATTAGTATTTCTGGTAATCTATCGTTTTAGGTACGTAAAATCGCCGCGACTTGTAATGTGAAAAACAGGTGACTCCTTAAATTTTAATAATTATTTCACATTTTGAGGAGGATTTATGTTTTTTAAAATACAAAAATGTTTCCTTGTTTCATTTATGTATCTGTTTTTAAACAATTGAATTAAAACTTTTCATTAATAAATGAAGACTAGCAATGTTTCCAACAGATGCAACCATGCTCATTTACTATAGCACTACTATAGCAGCCATCTTGTTTAAGTTTTATTTTTATAAGATTCAGGGGGAAGCCACTCTATTTTACACGTCTGCTGTTTATATAGCAAATCTTGCTCGCAGACACTGCTGTTTAAAGTTAATTTCTGGCCTATTTGATATATTTAGCCATTGATTTAGGTTTATTATCCATTTATCTATAATATTTGACACAAACATATCACAATACACCTCTATTTAAGCCTTGACAATGAGGTAACATTTTCGTACATTAATAGCCGCGGGCGATTTTACGTACCCAAAACGATAGACGTATTTCTATTTACTAGCATAAGCCTATAATAAGAAACGGGTATTTACTATTTTCTATTACTAAAATTGAAGATGGGTTCAAAATCACTGTTTATTGTTTATCCCTCTCTGCTAACTTACTTTACTATTTTGTCTTATACTAAGATTCTTCTTTTTCTTCTTCTTCTTCGTTCTTAATTATTAGTGTTGAAGGGGGTCGAGATTTATCTGCCAGTGGGTTTGAACTCGAGACTTTGTTCGAATTTATCAACCATGAGCTTTTTGCCGACTCGACCACGCCTCCAACACAATTAAGCGTTACGTGTCAACTGGTTATGCGCCATTGAGGCCATTGACTCCGATTTTAGCCTGCTTTTCTTTTTGGATTTGCTTCCATAGCCTTTGTCCAACCAAGAACAAACTACAAGGCAGCAGTTGTTTTGGAGGGTAAACTATCGTTTTGGGTACGTAAAATCGCCCGCGGCTATTTATGTACGAAAACGTTACCTCATTGTCAAGGCTTTAATAGAAGTATATTGTCATACTTTTGTGTCAAATATTATAGATAAATGAATAATAAACCTAAATCAATGGCTAAATATATCGATATAGGCCAGAAATTAACTTTAAACAGCAGTGTCTGAACTGTCTGAGAGCAAGATTTGCTATATAAACAGCAGCCATTTGTAAAATAGAGTGGCTTCCCCCTGAATCTGGCGCTAAAGCTTATAAAAATAAAACTTAGACAAGATGGCTGCTATAGTAAATGAGCATGGTTGCATCTGTTGGAAACATCGCTAGTCTTCATTTATTACGGAAAAGTTTTAATTCAATTGTTTAAAAACAGGTACATAAATGAATCAAGGAAACATTTTTGAATTTTTAAAACATAAATCCTCCTCAAAATGTGAAATAATTATTAAAATTTAAGGAGTCACCTGTTTTTCACATTACAAATCGCGGGCGATTTTACGTACCCAAAACGATAGATTACCGTTTTGGAGGTATCTCTCCTAGAAGAGTGGGCTGTTCCCAGCTAACGAGCCTCATCTGCCCGAGGGTTCGAACTCGAGACTTTTCGGTTTAGCAACCATGAGCTTTACCGACTCGACCACGCCAAACTCTACTAAGATTCTAATATAAGATGTAAGATCTAATTTTAAGTCCTAATGAAAACGAAACCGAGCCGCCATCTTTGTAAATTGCTTCGAGACGCTGGGCCGTGAGATAAAAAAAAATAAAAATATAATTTTAATAATCAAACAAACCCGTAGATCTCTAGACCTAGACCTACTTATTCAGTATTCAATCTTTCTTGTTACAAGACTAGAATCTAGATCTAGATGATAAAGATAAATAGTATTAAATAGATCTAGATCTAAATAAAGTTTTTAAATATACTCTTCAGCCAATTAAGAATAAAAAAATAGTATTCACCTTTTATTAATTCGCATTGTAACTCTTATATATATATATATATATATATATATATATATATATATATATATATATATATATATATATATATATATATATATATATATATATACTATAATGCCCCATCTTATCCATTCTCTATCGCACATAGTGCTCACGGGATACCACGGGTCGCCAAATTGCACCCTGCCGGGGCGTCACCCGTGCAAAATTTTGTTTTCCTTGGAGTATTCTCAGCAACATTCCAAAGTTTCATGGCAATCGGATGAAAGGTGTAGTAATGCATAAAAGGCAAATAAAGTCTTAATCATTGGTTTACCAGTCATATATTCTTAGACGAATGGCTTTGTTTTCTAAAACTGTTATTTAATTGTAAACAACCCCTGCACGGCTTTGTCTACACTACTGCCCAGCATATAAAAGCATTGAGTGTATGCTAATCACTCACCGTAGTATCACAGTTAATCACTCACCGCCTAAGCATCGGAGACGTGGAGTGGCGTTCTCGTGAGCCCCCGATTACACTTCTATAGGGGCGCCGCGTACGGAACCGGGCTTGGTTTTGCCGGCGGACGCGCCTGATTCAATTTAGTAAAAGAATATAGACTTGATCGCCCTAATGTAATATATCTAAAATGCTTATAATCTAAACTTATTGGTTACAAAATTAATATTCAAGGTGTTCTAAAACAAATTTCATTTTCCAAACTTAGTTATCTAGCACTAATAACGCCTCATGATAAATCAGGAAAACACAATTACTTTCCTTAAAAAAAAAATTACATCGCGGGAAAAACAAAACTTTTTATTACCGTGTTTTGGTGTTGGGGAAAAAAAAATTTACATAATTAGCGGAGATTGATAAAGTGCAATATGATAAGTAAAACACATGTTTTAAATAGTGCCTTCTATTTATTGTATACACTGAACTATTTGAATTTGTAATCAATAACAGTTTAGAAGCCGCTCCTAAATGTACTCTGTTTACTTCTATCTTTCCGTTTGCAGATAAGCTTGAGGTATCATAATCGTTCTCTAATTTGGATAAGGCACGTCCGCAAGCGCCCCGACTGTGAGCACTTTGCGTTTATGTTTGCATTTAAGATTGTATTTATGTTGATGTTTATTTGGATTATTTGAGTTATGGTTTGCCTTAGTATTTCTATTTGTATTTGCTTTTTTGTTTACGATTGTGTTTTCTTTGTGTTTGGGTTTTTGTTTGCATTTGGATTAGTTTTCGTTTACTTTTTTGTTTTCGTTTGTGTTATGTTAGCATTTTCGTTTGTGGTCGGTTCGGGTTAATTAGAAAAGTAATATATTTCCTAAACCCGAGCAAAGCCGGGTACCCTATATGCTGATTACTAAACGTCTATACGAGGCCCGAATGTTTTTTACAATAATGGATCCTATGTTAAAGGCCTAGCAAAACAAATAACATTATTGTTATAATATGTGGTAGTGGTCTTGGAAAATGTAACAGCCTATAGGCTGAGGAAAAGTAAAAATATCTAATTTCTCTGTTAATACATCTTCATATTTTCAACAATTGTATTAAATTGGAAGTCATATTAACATGTGTATGTAGGGTGTGACAAGGTGGTGTAAAATGTGCTATTGGATATATTCATATAAATTTTTTCAAATGGTTTACAGTACCCATGATTAGAATAAGAAAGACACTACATTTCTTTTTGCATTTAAATGAAGTTGAATAAGTATAACAGAAGAATTTTTATACTGTTAGAAAAGTCAAATGTTAACTTTACATGACATGCCAAGCAAGCCTTTGTTGTCTGACACTGACCTCAACTACCTGGCATGTTAAGGCATTAAATAATCAGAAGAGGGTCAAATTAACCGCAGCACTCAACACACAGTGGTCTTATTGGAATTAATAATGTTAGAATACAGACATTGGTAGTAAAACACTAAGAAGAATTTGATAGATGTAATGGATTGATGTTTCTATTAATAATACACTGGACGAAACCATGTTGATTGTATTTAGATCTTTAATCAGCTACCATCACGGAACAGCAAGTCACATGACATACATATAAGGGACATCACTCAAAAACAACATTATAAATATAAGACTAATACAAGAAGAGTGAGTTCCCTTGACTTCACAATTCTCAATATATTACAATAGATTTAGTTTTTACTACATGTTACAATTCCATAGCAGTTTACTACAGTAACATTTTCATTAAAATGTTTTAAAAAAATAAAGAAAACAAAATTAAACACAAAAAGCATAAAATATGCTAAAAATAGGATACCAAAATATCTATAACTATTACAGTCTTTATTGCCTTTTAGTTTGTAACTTGTATGTGGTGTGACTGTTTGCAAATAGAAAAGAAAGTGGGATAGTGTCAAGCATTAGAAACTGATAGTTGTTTTAAGGAATGAACCCACTTACACTTCTCAGGCTGACACTAAAGAAAAAATTGAACTGTAAATGTTTAGCTGCAAGGATGGTCTAAATTGGCTAGTTCTACTATTATAATTTTGTAAGAATAGTCAGCTATTACCTTATAATTTCAATTAAATGTTGCAATGAACTTTAATTTAGCAGTTTTTGCATATATATGCATATATATGAAAATATATACGAGTGACCTAGAAATAGAACTAAAACATGCTATCCTAGAATTAATATATACAGGTTATGCATGAATTGAAGATTAGAATGTCTTCAATTAGTGTTTCAACATTTGAACAAAATTTAAATTATGCTAAAAATACAATACCAAAATGTCAAAAAATAACCACTGCAGGTTTTGTCTTCTTGACTTTGAATTTATAACTTGTATGTGATGTTATTATTTCAAGCATTAGAAACTGACAAAGATCAACAGAACACAATATTAAATCCACAAACTGAATAAGAGACTTAAAGGATTCCGTTAAAAACCCAGCTTTGTTTTTTATAGTAATTTGTATAAGTGTGACAGAAAATTTTATATATTTCATAGTGTCCATCTTGATACGTAGATTTATAGAATCTAGATCTAAATCAAATTTGAATGAAATAGTTCATTTCTTAAAATTCTAAAATCTGAAGATGACATTAGTGTTGTGTTTTTTCCATAGTGTAAACATGTGGCCTATGAAGTAACCAGGACCCTATCAGGCAAAAATATTAATCCCAACAAACCAGTAAAGGATAAAGTAGGAAATATCCTAAAAAATGACACAGAACAGAGACAGATGGGTACAGCACTTTGATGAGATTTTAAACCATCCTCTCTCATCAAACATCCCTGATATACCACCTGCAAACCACCTACTAAATGTGTGTACAGATCCACCCACAAAGTAAGAAACAATAAGAGCAATAAAGAACATGAAAAATGGCAAAGCAGCTGGCCCAGACGGCATCACACCAGAGGCAGACCCAGCCATATCAGCAGACATACTACATCCTCTACTTAAGCAGATTTGGGAAGAAGGGATAATCCTATCTGACTGGTAACTGGGATACCTGATAAAACTGCCAAAGAAGGGAGACTTGATACAATGCAACAACTGGAGAGGGATAATGCTTCTTTCAGTCCCAAGTAAGGTGCTGACAAGAATCATCCTAGAGAGACTTAGAGATGCCTTGGACAAAAAGCTGAGACAAGAACAAGCTGGTTTTTGTCAATACAGGTCATGTACTGACCCAATTGCCACGCTGCGCATCATTATTGAACAGTCCCTTGAGTGGCAACCCCCCTCCCTTATACATGACTTCGAAAAGGGCGTTTGTGAATAGAGATGTTATCTGGAAGTTAATGAGCCACTATGGAATACCCAAAAAAATTGATATCTGTCACACAGAAACTATATGAAGATTCCACAAGGGAAAACTAACAAAACCATTCACGGTGACGGGAGTAAGACAGGGATGTATGCTATCGCCAGAGATATTCTTGATGGTAATCAAGTGGATCATGCTGAAAACCACAAAAAACAACACAGGAATCCAGTGGAGTTTCACCAAAGGCTGGAGGATCTTGATTTTGCCGATGACATCTGCCTACTATCTCACAAGCATCAACATACGCAAGCCAAACTAAATCGGCTATCTCAAGAAGCCTCCAAAGTTGGGACTAAAACTAAAAATCAATAAAAATAAAACAGAGGTCATCAGAATCAATAACAGCCAGGACCTGCCCATACAGCTAAATGGAGAAGATTTACGTGAAACAAACACATTCACATATCTGGGAAGCGTGATCAATAAGGACGGGGGAGCAGACATAAAATGTCTCACATGGGCACAGATAAAGGGAGCAGCCCAAAACCGAGTCCGCTGGAGATGTGTGGCTGCAGCCCTTTGCTCCCCAGGGGCCACAAAGGAATTATGATGATGAAACATGTGGCATTTGACGTCATTGTTTAATGCATTCTTGTCACAAACATAAACACTTTTCCGGTTGTATAATTAAAATTGTGTTTCTACATTCTAATATGCCTTTATTTTTCATCTTTAAATAAAATCTAGATTATACATTTAAAACATCTAACATATGATCTTCAACTAAAGTCCTTATTAAGTTCTCAATACCTTGCTGAAGGTACTGATATCATAGAATGTGAAAATATTTTGCAGGTGGACAGAAGAGAGAAAGAGAGAGAGAGAGAGAGAGAGACATGGGCTTTTAAATATTAGGATTAAGAACAATCTGCTCTTACCTTTCAACTACATTCAAATTTATGTAATGAACATTTTGCAATATTTGCATATATACATAAATATATATGACCTAGAGTAGAAGTAGAACTTAAATATTATCCTATTATTAAAATATACATATTGTGAATAGATGCTTCAACAATTTAAATAATGTAACAGATTATTAATCACACTTCTCTGTAAAGTTTTCATGACAACCATCAGATTTATAAAATTTATCTCTAGTATGAATTTTTTTGTGCCTACTTAAACTAGAACTGTCTGAAAACCTTTTATGACAAAGATCACATTCAAATGGCTTAACTCCTAAATGAATATTTTTGTGTCTATTTAGAACATAAATGTCAGAAAACTTTTTATGACAAACATCACATTCATATGGCTTAATTCCTGCATGAATCATCTTGTGTGTATTTAAATTAGAACTGTCTGAAAACCTTTTCTTACAAAAAACACATTCAAAAGGCTTTTTTAAATGAATTTTTTTGTGCTTGTTTAGAGTAGAACTGTCTGAAAACTTTTTATGACAAAGATCACATTCAAATGGCTTAACTCCTAAATGAATATTTTTGTGTCTATTTAGAACATAAATGTCAGAAAACTTTTTATGACAAACATCACATTCATATGGCTTAACTACTAAATGAACGCTTTTGTGTCTATTCAAATTAACACTATGTGAAAACCTTTTATGACAAAGATCACATTCATATGGCTTAATTACTGCATGAATTTTCTTGTGTCTATTCAAATTAAGACTACATGAAAACCTTTTATGACAAAGATCACATTCATAAGGCTTAACTACTAAATGAATATTTTTGTGTCTCCTCAGAGAAGAACTGTGTGAAAACTTTTTTTGACAAACATTACAATCATATGGTTTAATACCTGAATGAACTCTTTTATGTAAATAAAAACTATAACTATAAGAAAACTTTTTGAGACAAATATCACACTCATATGGCTTAACACCAGAATGAACAATTTTATGTTTGCTTAGAGCAGAACTGTCTGAAAACTTTTTGAGACAAACATAACATTCATATGGTTTATCACCTGAATGAACTCTTTTGTGTGTTATTAAACAACGATTTAAAAAAAAACCTTTATGACAAACATCACATTTATATGGCTTTACACCAGAATGAACAATTTTATGTTTTCTTAGAGTAGAACTGTCAGAAAACCTTTTATGACAAACATAACATTCATACGGCTTATCTCCAGTATGAACCCTTTTGTGTTTCATTAAATTAGAATTGCCAGAAAACCTTTTATGACAAAGATCACATTCATATGGCTTAATTCCTGCATGATGTATCTTGTGTGTATTTAAATTAGAAGTGTCTGAAAATCTTTTCTGACAAAAAACAAATTCAAATGGCTTAACTTCTAAATGAATTTTCTTGTGCTTGTTTAAATTAGAAATGTCTGAAAACCTTTTATGACAATCATCACATTCATGTGGCTTATCACCAGAATGAACTCTTTTGTGCTTTGTAAAATTAGATTTGAAAGAAAACTTTTTATGACAAACATCACATTCAAATGGTTTATCTCCTGAATGAACTCTTTTGTGTCTACTTAATGTAGAACTACATGAAAACCTTTTAAGACAAACATCACATTCATATGGCTTATCTCCAGAATGAACTCTTTTGTGCTTTGTAAAATTAGATTTGAAAGAAAACTTTTTATGACAAACATCACATTCATATGGCTTATCTCCAGAATGAACTCTTTTGTGTTTATTAAAATTAGAACGGTCTGAAAACCTTTTCTGACAAAAAACACATTCAAAAGGCTTAACTTCTAAATTATTTTTTTTTAGAGTAGAACTTTCTGATAAATTTATATGACAATCATCACATTCATGTGGCCTATCTCCAGAATGAACTCTTTTGTGTTTTGTAAAATTAAATTTGATAGAAAACTTTTTATGACAAACATCAGATTCAAATGGTTTATCTCCTGAATGAATTCTTTTGTGTTTTGTTAAATCACAATTCCTTGAAAACCATTTGTGACAAAAATCACATACATATGATTTATCTCCTGAATGAACTAGTTTGTGTCCTGTTAAAACAGAATAGCAAGAAAACCTTTTATGACAAACATCACATTCATATGGTTTATCTCCTGAATGAACTAGTTTGTGTCTTTTTAAAACCGAATTGCGAGAAAACTTTTTATGACAAACACCACATTCATATCGCTTAACACCAGAATGAACAATTTTATGGTGGCTTAGACCAGATTTGTTTGAAAACCTTTTATCACAAGCATCACATTCAAATGGTTTATCTCCTGAATGAAGTCTTTTGTGTTCCATTAATCTAGAATTGAAAGAAAACTTTTTATCACAAACATCACATTCATACGGCGTATCACTTGAATGAACTCGTTTGTGTGTTGTTAAATGAGAATTGCTAAAAAACTTTTTATGACAAACATCACATTCATACGACGTATCTCCTGAATGAACTCGTTTGTGTGTTGTTAAATGAGAATTGCTAAAAAACTTTTTATGACAAACATCACATTCATATGGTTTATCTCCTGAATGAACTCGTTTGTGTGTTTTTAAATGAGAATTGGTTAAAAACTTTTTATGACAAACATCACATTCAAATGGTTTATCTCCTGAATGAACTCTTTTGTGTTTTGTTAAATAGTAATTGATAGAAAACTTTTTATGACAAACATCACATTCATGTGGCTTATCTCCAGAATGAATTTTTTTATGTTCATTTAACCTAGAATTATCTGAAAACCTTTTATGGCAAGCATCACATTCAAGTGGCTTCTCCCCTACTTGAGCTTGTTTATTCAAGTTAGATCTTTGAAAAAACTGTTCATGACGATCATCAGACAGATATGTTTTGTCTTCAGAGAGTGTTAGCTTTTCTTCAAGTCCATTTTGTTGTTTGTCCTCAGAATCTAAAAATTTTGTCCATAAATCTGGTTTTATATCTTTGTTGGTTGATAAAGTTTCTAATTCTGGATTTATATCTTCAGTAGATGATAAAGTTTCTAATTCTGGTTTTATACCTTCACTGGTTGATAAAATTGCTGATACATCAGGTTCCACATCTTTAAAATTTAAAAATCCTGTTGTTACATTTTGAGAAGTTAGAAATGTCATATTATGTTTCACATCATCAAAAGATGATAATGTACATTCTGCATTTATGTCTTTAGAAGACGAAACGTCTAGCATAACATCAGTTTCAACGTCTTGTGAAGTTATAAACGTCTTGTTTGGTTTCATATCATGGAAAGTCAAAAATGTTGATAATTCTGTTTTTATGTCAGCAGAAGATGAAAACACTGCAGGTAGATCTGGCTTCACATCTTCAGAATTTGAAAATTCTGTTAATTCAACTGACTGTACATCTAAATCACCAGTAGCCTCTTCCATGTTGCACTGCTTCTTATAAATGAACTGGGGATTAAATTTTTTAATGTTGAGTGGTGATTATATAAATCAGAACTAGTTTTTGTTTTTTGCGGAATGAAATCTTAAGTCTAGTATTTTAATTATAATTCAATTGTAGCATGTGCAGAAAAATTAAAATTATGGGTGTTATTATTGTATTAGTAATTTTTTTTAGTATATTGATTTTTTTCTTCACTGTGGGCTGACAGTAGCTGCATGGATAATTTTAAAATCCTTTTTTTGTCTTGGCATCTGAGCAAGCTAGATAATTAAATGTGGTCTCTAATGGTCTGTTAAATGTCATGGTATATCCGAAATAACAGAATATTTGATTTTAAAATTTCATAATTCAACCTATTCTATACATCCATAGTAACTTAGAATAAACTAGTATGCAGTTTTTTTTCTGACAGGGGCAGACAATCTACCCCCACAATCTCACAGTGAAAAAAAATTGAAATTTTTTTTTTTTTAAAAGTACTATTTCCTGTCATTTCTATTAGCACTGCAATGACATAAAAAATTTTTTTTTTTTTAAACAAAGAAAGGCTTCAAATGAAAAATTAGGTAAGTTTGAACCTGTTAGTTATAATTTTAGCAGAAATGAGAATAACTTTACAAAAGAAACATTTAAAATTTAACTAAATTAAAAGCAAAAAGTTTATTGATAAGCAAAAAATTAAACAAAAAGATCAAGAAATTAGATAATTAAAGTCAGCTGTTAGAAAACATCTAAAAACAATTAATGAATTAGAAGTAGAAAACAATCTCAAATGTTTACTATTAGAGGAAGAGGAGGATAATGAAATAAAAACTAAAACTGGTAGGACTTATGACAAATGAGAAAAAGCATTTATCATCCCCTGCTAAGCCATATCCCAGTAGGAGTGTAGGAGGCACTTTTAATAATTTATCTTCTACGGTCCAAAAAAAGTGGCTCAAATGTGTGCTACACTACAACCAGATAGCTAGGATGGAATATGAACCAGGAGTGCTGGCAATGGTTCAAGCAGGTGAAGCTATTGACAACTGTGAGGTTGCGACCATTGCATCTGATGCAACTACAGTTGTTGATAAGAATTTAGACACATTTTACTTGTCCACATCTCCCCAGATGAACTACACCATCTCTACAGCCAGACTTGCAGGCGGCAGGACGTATGACTATGCCAGGCATATTCTGACTGCTCTAAAGGAAGTGGCTTATACTTATGCCGAGTACAACCAGATGCCACAACTTGTGGTGATGAGCTCTCTGAAGGCAAAGTACAGGAGCTACTTAACTGACAGAGCACCTGTCAACAAGTGTGTCCTCCAGATGCTGGAAGATGAGCTGAATGTGCTCCAGCAAACTGCAATATTCACCCTTTGGACACCATTGCAACAAGTGCCTGCACCTACCTCAGCAAGCTGAACAGAGAGTGGAACATCCAGGCTGCCAGTGGAAAAGATGGTGCAGCTGTGTCTTTAATTTATAACTTATCTAAACTGAGCTTAGTATTAAAGAAAAATTTATAAAATATATTGTATTGATGTGTGCATATCTATCTATTTAATATACATAAACTAAATTTCAGATATAGATATAAAGAAGCCCCATGTGCATTCAAGTGCTTCTTGAAGCAGAATGAAGTGGCCCATGGTACTTTCCTGTGCTATGTTGGAAACAGGCTGCATGCCTTATTCCACATGACTGGGATAGCAATCCACCATGAAGTTCTGTTAACATTTCTTGAACACCAAAGGTAATATCATTTCCTTAGACTTGAATAAAATAAATGACTGTAATCCACATTATGTTAACATTTATTTCATTATGTTTAAATTTTATTGCAGTCTTTCAAACAACCCAATTTGCCAGAACCTGATGAAAGGATTCTCCAAAAGAGAAGTTCTGGTCCAGCTGCAGGGATTAGGCTTGATTGGCAAGTTTATCACAGGTCCTTAGATAACTTAGGTGTACAAGAATGCACATGGGAGAAGTCACATGGGAATGGTAAATATAATTTTTACTTTTTATAATTTAGAAGTTGCAAATTTCTTCTTTAACAGAATTAAGGTACAAATTTCTTCTTTAACATTACTTGTGAATTTTGCAGAGTGTGCTGTTCCAGACAGCCATAGAAAAGATCAAGAAGATGAAGCTGGACCTCAGCGGACCGATGAGGATGTTTTTGGACAGAAGATAGTGGCTGATAAGGTTCACCAGTCTCAGTTGGTGGAGAGGGACAATAGGCTCATGCAAGATGTCCTGTCTGAGCTGTTACAGTCTATGAAGGATGTTATGGAACGGCAGATGTCCCCTTACTTGACTGGTAACTATTCTAACCCTTCCGATTAAATTTTAAAGTGTACTCAGCTCCTGCCCACAACATCCATGCTGAGAGGACGCTGGGATTGATGGACTTCCTGATGCGCCAAGCTCCAAATGCCACAGTGGGTTTTCTGGATTCCAAGGTGAAGGCAACCCTTCACTGGCTGGAAAGAAAGTCAGAAGCAGAGCAGCAGAGGCTGATCAGCTTTGCCATAACCAACTGCACTCACACCAGGAAAGCATGTAGTTTGTATGAGCAGGAGATTGACAGCGACATCACCCAGCGACAGGCTGAAGCACTTAAAAAAAAGGGAGAAAAAGGGCTGCTCCCTTCGGGACTAGCGAGTGCTGAAGGCTTTGTTGCGGGGTGATGTTCCTGCTGATCATGATCAGTTTTCCAGGATAGATGCCAGACAGATGCCTTTTCTGGAGCAAGTCCTAGAGGGACATGACTAGGCTGGTTATCTGTTGGTCCACAAGAGGGAGCTAGCTGGTAAGGACTGCAACTACTTTGGAAGGGTTTTGGATAGGCTACCAGCAAGCAAAAACAAGCCAGATCACTTTGTCATCAGCTACTGGGGAGGAGATGAGGACAGTTTGGAAGACTGTGAGATTCCCCTACATTCTCTAATTGTGGATCTTGTGGACGGTGACCTCAGCTTTGATTAGTAGTTAGAGGTGAGCTATTGAATTGTTTTAATCAGCTCAAATAAAACAAAAAAATTGTTTTCAATACAATGTGTGGCCCACACCCCCTCAAGAAAGCACGTGTTTATTAAGCTGTTTATCTCACTTTACAACAGTAGGCCTAATTAAAATTAGTTTTCAAATGTGTATTAGGCCCTACTTCTTATTGGGTAAGATTAAGCACATAATAACTTGATATTTCTGTGTTTATGACTTTTTATTTGTACACAATCAGCATGCTATGCTTCTAAAATTGATAAATGGTAAGTATACCAAGTTACAAAACCTGCAATCTAAAATACATACTTTCAGTTTAAACAATAATAAAAACGATCATCAATGAAGAAAGTGTAAACATTCTATTTTTATGTGTGACAAAAAAAAAAAACAATCCGTAAATCTAGCCAAATGACTGGATTCTCGCTCTGAACACAATTTCCCCGCGCCTCGTTTTCACCAAACAAGATTATAATAAAATGGCATTATGGGGGGGGGGGGGGGGGGACATCTCATAAACTCCATAAATTATTACCAGCTAATTGTAATGTGCGTAAAATTGATGCTTTCAAGTTTTATATGCACATAGTCTGGTTTGCTATGGAAGCGTTATTTTCCATAGATCTAGATCTAGAACTATTTTCACTTAGACGCCACTTGCGAGACAAAGAAATTAGGTCAAAAGTACATCTGACAATTCTTAAATATTCCAAGGGATACAACAAAGTAAAATACCTTTACCACCTAACCCAACAGCCAGGGTCATGTATAATTCATATAAACCTTATCCCTGGCTTAACACAGGCCCATGCAAGGGATACAACAAAGTAAAAAAAAAATGCGGTGAATAATAAACTCACACAGCGAGTGACATACAAAAATGTCCAGTCAGCAACATCTGCCGAAAACTGACGTCCACACACCTCGAACACTACCCGTAAACAAATAGTCCATAATTCACAGATAAAAAATAACACGCCACGAAACATAAGACAGAAATATAAAAAAAAAACACTTAATATAAACATTGACAACAATATAAACAAAATATATAGATTATTATAGATTCTACAAACTAGCCGTAGACAGCGATAAAACAATTATACAGCGGCGCCATAGTACAGAACTACATTACAAAAAAGCACGAACAGTTTACGACATAAATCAAAACGATACATTCGCCTTTTTAAGTTACAGATAAAATAATAATAACACTCCAGCCGCTCACACATATTAACATAAATGCTCTTGACTATGTATATACACCCTTCTCCCATACATAAAATACAGTGACCCATGCTCTATTTATATTATATATTAGTGGCGTGCAGAGCTATTTTGATGCTCAAACCAAGCGAAAATGCCCCCATTCAGAGAGGTAGCGAGGGGGGCGGGGGGGGGGGGGGAGGGGGGGGGGGGCGGACCGCACCGGGTGACACCAAGGCAAAAGTAGTAAAATATATAGAGAAAAATTTGAGAGGGGGGTGCAAATTGAAAGTTTGAGTGGGGGTGCAAATTGAAAGTTCGAGGGGGGGGGGGGTGTGCAAATAGAAAGTTTGAAGGGGGGGGGGGGGGGGTTGCAGCTCGGAACTTCGAGGAGGGGTGCAAATCGAAAGTTTGAGGGGAGGGGTGCAAATCGAAAATTGAAAGTTTGTCTCTGGGGGGGGGGGGGGGTGACACCATTAAGTGCCGCACCGGGTGACACCCGACCTCGCCCCCATTAGTGTCACACCTCAGTGTGTGCCTGTTCGCCTGGTAATTTTTTGACCTGAAATGACTGGCGATGGGTGGACTTGAGTGAGCCATCCCACCCCCACCCACCCACCTTAAGCCTGGTATGTAAATTTGGGAAAACACGTATCGTTGTTTTTTGTTTTTTTTGTGTGGATACTTTTACTTGTTACGGACCTCAGAAATGCTACGTTGAAGTTGTCGGATACGTAGGAATAAACCGTCTCGACTTGGTAAAAGGAAAACAAAACTCGATAATACATTGAGAAAATATCGATGCTAGTCAGAGAGAACAACGATTTCTGCTTGTGCGCTTTGTAGATGTTTAACGTTGTGACTTTTAACCTGTGAAATTTTTTATTGAACTTTTGTACCGCTAAAGACACAACAGGCAAAGATATTTATCTTGACTGCCAGCAGCACTCTAGAAATATGGCTTAGAGATTGGTAAATGTCGAGGTCAGATATATGATAATGAAGCTAATATGTAAGGAAAACGATATGATTATATCGTCGTCATAAAAATAATTCGCTTTGAGAAGAAGAAAAAACACTACTTTTCCAAATTGGAGATAAAGGCCCCACGTATAACGGTTACAGGGGCCATTATAACTTCCACAATTCATTAAGGCCAGACACCACATGTAATAGATTGAGTTAATTGTGAGGTCAAGGGAACTCACTCTTCTGTATTAGTATTATATTTATATTGTTATCTTGAGTGATGTCCCTTGTGCATTGTACTTCCTTCCGTCTCTCTCTGTGTGGTACCGTCATGTAGTTAGACCCAATAAACGTTTTATATACAACCACATGCTTCTATCGTCAATCCATTATATCTGGCGACGAGGATGAAAATCTACTAGAAAGAGCACCTACTTACGCAAAAAAGAGGTTTGCTAGAGCTTATTGGCTAAGTATTTCTAGAATAATGGCGCTGTATAGCCAAATAAAACAATTTGATTCGAATGATGAAATCATTCAGGATTACCTAGATAGGTTAAGCTTTTACCTAGAAGCTAACAACGTGACGATAGAAGCCAAAAAGAGAGCTGTTTTGTTAACAGTCATAGGGCCTCAACAATTTAGGCTACTAAAGGACTTATGCGCACCAGCTAGTCTAACTACCAAGAGCTTTAACGAGCTGAGCAAATTGCTAACAGACCACCATGCGCCTACCCCATCAAAGTTTCTATGTCGAGCTAGATTTGACAGTAGGACTCGTCAACCAAACGAGTCAATATCAGAATATGTTGCTGCTTTACGTCATTTAAGTAGATTTTGTGAATTCGGAGACACGCTGTCTGACAGATTATGTGAAAAGTTTGTGACAGGTGTAAACAGCCCTGATATTCAAAGAAAGTTGCTGCTCGAGTCAGATCTAACATTGGAAAAAGCAATACAACTTGCAATGTCATTCCAGCAGTCATCTGATGCGGCGAGATCTTTAGCACCTTCAGAGATCCATGCAGTAAACAGCAGGTTAGTCAATAAACATCAACCCCAACAGAGCATTCCAACTTATGCTAAACAGCCTGCTCGTTCAAATCCTAGATCTAAATCTAGTAATAATTATAAAAAATGTCATCGATGCAAAGGTCCCCATGCATCTCATCGGTGCAAGTTCAAGTTAGCAACTTGTTATAAGTGCGGTAAGCAAGGTCACATTGCCAAGGCCTGCTTTGCAAAGTCTTCGTCTGTTGCTAAATCTAGCCAGTCAAGACAGTACCGCAACCAAGGGCAGCACTATGTTAACTCTCACCAAGACTACCTAACCCAACCAATGAACCACTCTACCAGTGAAAATTCTCAAACTGATTCGCAGCCGGATTTCAACCTGTTCTCTGTGAAATCAATAAGTCATGCTCCCATCAATGTACTAGTTAATATCAACGGTAAGAGCATCAGCTTCCAACTTGACACTGGAGCATCTCTAACAGTCATAACAAAGAAAGATTTTGACGCTGTCACAGGAGGATCAGTGTCTCTACAGCCGTGTCACAAGTGTCTAACAACATACACTGGTGACAATGTTCCGGTAATAGGAGAGTGTATGGTTCATGTAAGTTATAATGGTCAAAGTGTTAAACTTCCTCTTCTTGTGGTTGAAGGAAATGGACCACCATTACTAGGTAGGAACTGGTTAAGTGATCTTAAGTTAAATTGGGAGAGTATTTGTTCATTGAAGAATGTAAAAGAATCTAGTCTTACTTCACTAGATAGAGTTATATCTGAAAATAAATGTGTTTTTGGTAACTCTGGATTACTAAATGATAGAACAGTGAAGTTAAGCATTAAAGACTCAAATCCAATATACTGCAAAGCTAGAGTTCCACCTTATGCAATGAGGAATAAAATTGAAAATGAGCTAAGTAGATTGGAATCTAATGGCATCATAAAGAAGGTAGACTATTCCGATTGGGCAACGCCCATTGTGTCAGTGTTAAAGAAGGATGGTTCTATAAGAATTTGTGGAGATTATAAAACTACACTGAATAAGCAAATAGAGCTAAATAGATACCCTATTCCTAACATTGAGGAAATTTCTTTGAATTTGGCAGGAGGAGACAAATTCACTGAATTAGACTTTAGTCATGCTTACACTCAACTAGAACTGCATCCAGATTCAAAAGTCTATACGACAATAAACACACATAAAGGACTCTACCAATATGAAAGACTATGTTTTGGCATATCATCTAGCCCTGGAATTTTCCAAGCTGTCATGGACAGTATTTTTAAGGATATTCCAAATGTTTGTGTGTACTTTGACAATGTGTACATAACTGGTAAGAATGACACTGAACATCTTAAAACACTTGATAAAGTCTTGAAAGTAGTTGGTGAAAAAGGTTTAAAGATAAACAAAGATAAATGTCAATTCATGTTGACAGAAATTAGTTTTCTTGGTTATATATTAAGCAAGCAAGGTATCAGACCTCAACCTGAGAAAACAAAAGCCATTAAAGAAGCACCCAAACCTGAAAATACCCAACAACTAAGAGCTTTTTTGGGCTTGATAAATTACTATGCAAAGTTCATAGGGAATCTGTCTGGTAAACTATCACCACTGTACAAGCTGCTACAGAAAAATGCAACTTGGCACTGGGGTAAACAACAAGAAGCTGCTTTTAATACAGCAAAAGAGGCTTTGTCTTCTGACACCTTACTAACTCACTATGACCCAGGGAAAAGACTTGTATTAACATGTGATGCTTCACCAGATGGTGTAGGAGCAGTCTTGTCCCACATGGATGAGAAGGGTGACAGACCCATTGCTTTTGCCAGTAGATCTTTGAACCAGGCTGAGAAAAATTATTCTCAGTTAGATAGGGAAGGCTTAGGCATCATTTTTGGTGTTAAGAAATTTCATAAGTTTCTGTTTGGTAGGAAGTTCACCATCTTTACAGATCATAAACTATTGCTAGGTTTATTTGGAGAAAACAAAACCCTACCTGAGCATGCCTCACCAAGAATTCAAAGATGGGCTATCACACTAACTGCATACAATTATGAATTGAAATACAAACCTGGATCTGAGAATAGTGCAGATTGTCTTAGTAGATTACCTTTAAAAAACCAAAGCCTGAGCTATGTACCAGAAGATGTATTTGTTCTCTTCACTATCATGGATAACTCCAATATAAATGTGAATGATATTAAAAGAGAAACACAAAAAGATGAGTGCTTAATAAAAGTATATGAGTACTGTAAGAATGGTTGGCCTGAAGAGTCAGTGAATGATGACTTAAGGCAATATTAAATAAGAAATAAAACCCTTTGTGAAGATAATATAAAATATGGAGAAGATGCAGTCCATTATCAGTCAGAGTTGCCTAAACAAAGTATTTGTAACTTAATAAATGATTATGGTGATATGGCAATTTCAAATGTTTTAAAGAGAATACATTAGTAAGAAGGAATGTGATCATCAAACAACTTTGCTAACATCATTAGCACTTACAGAAACTAAAAGGGTAACATCAAAGGTAAATACCAAACAGAAGAAGCTAAATGTGACAATGAAAGAGTAAACAGGTTATTAGCCAAATACCGCACAACTCCTCATATAACAACAGATGTTGCACCATGTGAATTGCTATGTGGTAGGAAAATTAAAACTCATCTTGACCTACTACATCCAACTGTTCAAAGGTCTGTTTCCCAACATCAACATACACAAAAAGTAAATC